ACCACCTGACCTTAAAGAAAATTTTCCGTTTAGATTTGTTTATAAAATATATGTTCCTAACTCTCTTATCATGTGATTTTTCACATGATGCGAGAGATAGACACAAGTAGACAAAAAATGGTTTTTGGCCAATTTGAACCTTCTAATTTTTTTTTTTTTTTTGTTGATATTTTGTTAGTTGACGAATTGGGGTTAAGAGAGGGAGAGCAACGTCATGCCTTGTGGAGTAATGCCAACTGCCTTTTTTTTTTAGTACAAGTAATAGTCTAAACTAGAGAGGAGGGGGGATTTCACACACACAGTGGTGGTGGAGCCAGGATTTGTATGTGTGGGGGGCCGAACCGTAATACAAGTATGGAAGAAAAAAAATATCAATCTTACATCAATAATATATATATATATATATAAGGGGAAATGGACATTTTTTTAGAACTTTATACTTAATTTCATGTATCAAAACGAAAAAGTCTTTTGATAAAATCTAATTTCTCTTTAAACCATTTATTTTCTATTCCCTTAGCTCATCGGTATGATTATTAGAGGATTAATACTTTCCTTTTCTTTTTATGTTAGTTGTGTAATGGGCCCACAAACATTTTACATATAATTATAAATGAAGTTATTATGGATTGCAATGGGGGCCATTAGAATAGTTATATGGTTTGCATTGCTAAATATATGAACTAAAGCCCAAGCTTTACTGTGTTGAGAACAAATTGTGGGGGGCAGGGCCACCTCAGGCCCTAAACTACCGCCGCCCCTGCATACACACACTATGATGTCTTGGAAATTTGAACCTGAGATCTCTGGTTTGCAAGTTAAGGCTCTTTTTCACTGGACTAGACCCATTGACAATGACGACTACCTAATTGAGTAGTTATGTGATGGTTTATGTTTGTATGTCTGATAAGATGGCGAGCTATTGAAAATTTATATTTTATATTTTAATAATCTTTCCATTTTTTAAGGAAAAAACAAGTTTAGCCTACACGCTATCCTCCCTCTTCTTCTCCCACCAACTCCATCACCGGACCAAGAATAGACAAACTAAAAAAAGAAGAGGCAAATTTTCCTTCAAGTGCGGAGGCCATTGGATATGCGATGGTGGAAAATTTGCTGAATTTGTGTAAAAAAGTCCAAGAAGTTGACAGTTTGGTCATGGTGGGTTTGTTGGCACAATAACGTAATACTTGAATTTTGAGAACAGAAAGAGGTGTATATAATACAATTGGAATTGCTTTCAAAATGCCATAGGTTATTCGATCCCCAAAAAAAAAAGGCATGGGTTATGTGCTATCATGACTCTAATGGCATGTTTACTAATCCGGAATTGAATTAGGGGGAATTGAATTGAGGATGAATTGAATTGAGGAGGAGTTGGATTGAGGAGAATTAGATTCCAGATTCCTAATGAAGTTGTTTACTAAACCATATGGATTGAGGGGAGTTAGATTCCGAATTCCTATTGAAATTGTTTACTAAACCAGAAATGGACATTTTTTTAGAACTTTATACTTAATTTCATGTATCAAAACGAAAAAGTCTTTTGATAAAATCTAATTTCTCTTTAAACCATTTATTTTCTATTCCCTTAGCTCATCGGTATGATTATTAGAGGATTAATACTTTCCTTTTCTTTTTATGTTAGTTGTGTAATGGGCCCACAAACATTTTACATATAATTATAAATGAAGTTATTATGGATTGCAATGGGGGCCATTAGAATAGTTATATGGTTTGCATTGCTAAATATATGAACTAAAGCCCAAGCTTTACTGTGTTGAGAACAAATTGTGGGGGGCAGGGCCACCTCAGGCCCTAAACTACCGCCGCCCCTGCATACACACACTATGATGTCTTGGAAATTTGAACCTGAGATCTCTGGTTTGCAAGTTAAGGCTCTTTTTCACTGGACTAGACCCATTGACAATGACGACTACCTAATTGAGTAGTTATGTGATGGTTTATGTTTGTATGTCTGATAAGATGGCGAGCTATTGAAAATTTATATTTTATATTTTAATAATCTTTCCATTTTTTAAGGAAAAAACAAGTTTAGCCTACACGCTATCCTCCCTCTTCTTCTCCCACCAACTCCATCACCGGACCAAGAATAGACAAACTAAAAAAAGAAGAGGCAAATTTTCCTTCAAGTGCGGAGGCCATTGGATATGCGATGGTGGAAAATTTGCTGAATTTGTGTAAAAAAGTCCAAGAAGTTGACAGTTTGGTCATGGTGGGTTTGTTGGCACAATAACGTAATACTTGAATTTTGAGAACAGAAAGAGGTGTATATAATACAATTGGAATTGCTTTCAAAATGCCATAGGTTATTCGATCCCCAAAAAAAAAAAGGCATGGGTTATGTGCTATCATGACTCTAATGGCATGTTTACTAATCCGGAATTGAATTAGGGGGAATTGAATTGAGGATGAATTGAATTGAGGAGGAGTTGGATTGAGGAGAATTAGATTCCAGATTCCTAATGAAGTTGTTTACTAAACCATATGGATTGAGGGGAGTTAGATTCCGAATTCCTATTGAAATTGTTTACTAAACCATATGGAATTGGGGTAGGAGTGGTACTAATTACTAAAATGTCCACATTTTTTGGTTAAAGTAGATGGCATATTTGGAATTTTGAAAATTGTGTGAGGATATAATGGGTAAAAAAGATGAATTCCTAATGGGTGAATTCTCCAGGAATTAGAATACCACCTCCAATTCCGGAATTGAATTCCTCCAAAATCAGGAATTTAATTCCTAATTTTGTGTGAGCCCCGCTTACTTTTCAATTCCTTGATGTGAAGTAAACGTATGAATTCTCCATAGGCGGAATTCAATTCCGGATGAGAATTCCAATTCCGGATTAGTAAACATGCCATAAGTGTCAAGGTATACGCTTAACATGGTAGTGTGTGTGCTTCGAGAGATAGCGTCGGTGTCCAGAGTGGTAGTATACCAGACTCATATTTTTGTTCTTCAAGGTAATGTGCTACTCTGAAGTCTGAAGACTAGAACTAACATTCCAAAAGGTAATATGCTAATTAAAGTGCATTCGCTATCGGACAGAAAGCTACTTATTTCAGGAAAGAAGAATGAGAGTGCGAGAATTAGGTATAATGCAAATCTAGAAACATAGTACGTAACTCCATTGTTTTATTGCATCATAATTTTATATGATTTTTTAACGTCAAGTTCTGAATTTATAAGATTTATTAAAACATATTAGTTTTCTTTTCTTTTGGATGAGATCCATCAACATTTTATGACTTACCTATAATCGAGCTAAGGCACGACTCCTATAAGTATGGCGTACACGGAAAGGCCAAGGACGGACAATCTTTTTCAGCAAACAACTCAATACAACCCTAATTCATTCTCAAGGCATTTAGACTTTCCAAAGAACTCAAGGTTTTCGTCTGACTACTTTGCTTGCGTTATCAGATTCCGAGCCTTCTGTGGCTTAGATCTTGGAGGTCTGATAGCTGTGTCAATTCTGACATTTGTATCGATGTTTCCAATTGATCTACATCAATTGAAGGTGCTGTAATTCTTTTGGCAGTGCAGTTTTTTTTACACAAATCTAGGTTCTCACTAATTATCACCAAAATTTTGTTCTTTAGTCATTGTATTAGGGAGATTATAAAGTCCTTATTTGTCTTAAGACATAGAAAAGAACTAATATTGAGCCAGCTCTCCACTCAATTTACAATCGTTTGGTTAAAGTTCGATTACTTGACGCACAAGTTATTTTTATTTACATTCAGTCTATTAGGGTTTGCACCAACATCTCCAAGGGCACAAGCAAATGAAATAGGCAAAAGTGTGCTATATAGACTAATGTGGCATGTTGCCTATTCAATTGCCTCTTGGAAAAAATTGTTCACTCCAATGGGCTAGGCAAAATGAACTAGTAGGCAATGCAATATTATATTATCTATTTTCATCTTTTACATTTACCTCATTTCACCCACCACAAAAAGCAAAAGAAAATTATATTTTATAATAATAAAAATATGTGGGGCCCAATATATCTCTTTACTTTGAAGTATGCAATATTGCTTTGTTGGGGAGAGTATGTATATTTTGCCTACCCATTTGCCTCTTTCTTTGGAGCATAAAAATATTGATATGGCAAGGCAAATGAAATTTACCTACTATTTTACCTTTTTCCCTGGAGATGCTCTAGTGGCACGCTTGCAATGAACACAATGCTCTTAGTCTATTTAAGAGGCTGCGATATTTTGAGGGTATAAACAATAATATTTCTATCAAGACAAGACTTACTTATTGTTTATGCTGGAATTAGTCATTTCTAACTAGAAGAGACTACAAAAATGGTTAACTTTTATGTAGAAAAATGAAAAGAGCCAAGCTGTGTTGTTTCGTTTGTTTCTTTTCTGCCCAAACAGCCTCATCTTAATTTATTTTTGCGTGGGTGACTGCAAGACCTGTCTCAAGAGTCCAAGTGTGAGTGGAGGTCAAGGGGCAGGGCTTGGCTGCATCGACAACTTTTGTGACATTATATAGGTCGAACCGCATCATGACTTTTGCAACCACATCCTGACAACCCCCCATCACCCCCATCCCATGCCTTTTGGTGGTTGTGTTGGGACATAAAGAGAAAATTAGGAAAAACACATTGACAACTGCATATTTTATATAGAAACACATAGAGAGATTTGAGGAAAAAAAACCCTCACTTAGTCTTCTATTTAAGAGGCTGCATATTTTAATTGATTGATTCTTAATGTGTTACTATTTTTATACTTAAAAGCATACCATGGTTTTTTTTTTTCTTTCTAAAGTTTGGACTTGAAGCAATGGCGGATCCATGATTTGAAAGTTGGACAAGAAATGGAACTTGGGTGTGCAGAGCAAGTGTGTAGGCTTCCTTTTATTTATTTATTTAAATTTTGGGTTTGGTTATATCATATGCAGCTTTTTTTGGGAAAAAATTGGGTGGGGGAGTAGCCCAGCCTGCCCCATGCATAGAACCGTCACTGATTTGAAGGGTCTATAATGAATCTATATGTCAAAAACTGGGTCCTACGACTCCCACTACCACCCTCATTAAAAAGGCCACACCGCTCATCTTTATCAGTCACAACTTAACCCCTCTCTCTCTCTCTCTCTCTCTCTCTGTGTTGTTGTTGTTGTTTTTGGACTTCAAGTTTACTAAACGGTGCCGTTTGAGATCATGGGTCAGAGAAGAGGCAGTGCAGGGGTTGGTGTGGTTTTGATGATGTGCCTGAGTTTGCTGCTGCTGCATTCTGAATGGGCTGAAGCCAGAAGCTACACTGTTGGGGATGCAGGTGGTTGGACGTTTAACGTTGCTGGGTGGCCTAAGGGGAAGCCATTTAGAGCCGGTGACGTGCTTGGTTAGTATATACAAACTCAAAGCATATATATTATTTTCTTCTTCTGCTTAGTAAATTATATACAACTTAGAAGGATGATTATTTGATTGATAATTATTATAGGAAAATTCATGAAGTTGGGTCCTTTGTTCAAGTTCTTTTTCCTTTTAATTTGGACTGATTTAGAGACTGAATTCTGTTCACCACGAAAAGTACTTCTAAGGCAGAGGCCTAGTGAGCCCATGTTTGGCTTATCATCGGTAACTCAAGTGATTAAAAGTATAAGAGTGATTTGTAACTCGAGCGGTTAAAAATGTAAAATAAAACGAAACTTAAGTGGTTAAGAGTTTTTATGCTGCAACCAAACTCCGTTTCTTCCCCCCTTTTTAAAAGGAAAGGAAGAGACTAAAATGTTTCACAAGATACAAAGTTGATCGTAAAAACTCGCATGGGTTTGAGAGGACTTGGATTTTCTTAATTGTCTAAAGTCAAATATACTTTTGAACTAAACCTTTGAATTAGCTTGTACTTAAGCATAATCTTGATTAATCTTAGTACCCTGACCTCTTGCATATTTGATTATAGTTTTCAACTACGCGTCTTCTGCTCACAATGTGGTTGCTGTGAACAAGGCTGGGTATCGGACATGTAGCAGTCCAAGAGCTGCCAAAGTCTTTCAGACTGGAAAAGATCAGATCAAGCTTGCTAAAGGACAGAACTTCTTCATTTGCAATTTCCCAGGCCACTGCCAATCTGGCATGAAAATTGCCATCACTGCAGCCTAGGCTTATCTCATATATATTTATATATATATAATATTACCGCTATATATCCAGTATACTACTATATAGCTGGATGTATTGTAAGTTTCACTACTACTTTGTGATGAAGAAATAATAGGTCAGTGGTAGAGCTGTTGGCATGCAAACTAAGGGTCTATAGTCCGATTCCCATGACACCGCGTGTGTGTTTGAGAATACTCCATCTCTCTTTTTAACTGTGGTAGAAAAAAAAAAAAAAAAAAAGGATTTTTATAGAAATATCACATAAACTTATACCTCAGTTTTAATTTGTCACCTTAAAGAAAAATTTAAGAGAAATGTCACCTTAATTTTTCAAATTTCAAAATTTATTATTTGATTTTAACATCATCCAATTTGATATCCATTTTAAAGGGTATTTCAGTCTCTCTATTTTCAAGATATTTTAAAACTGAAAAAATAATTATATAAAAAATTGTATTTAAAAAAAAAATTTCCTTCCTCCATCCCAAGTGCACAACACCAATGGCTCTGACCAACCCCACCCACACCTAGAAATCCATTCTCAATTCTCTATTCACAGCCCCTTCCTCCATTCCCCTTTCCCTCTTTCCCTTCCTCCTTTTCCCTCTATCATGGAACACCTGCCCTCTACACACAAATTCCCTTAGCCCACCCAAACCGAGTCCACTTTTTTCTTCTTATTTTTTCTTTTTGGTATTTTTCCATTTGCATATTGAAAATTTGTGGAGAGAGAGAGAGAGAGAGAAGGGGGGTCCTGTGCGATGTGTTTTGGGGGCGAGTGAGGTTGGGGTGGGGGAGAAAGGGAGAGAGATGTCTCTTTTTTCTCTCTTTTTTTTCCTTAGAAATGAAAAAAACTAAATACCCATAAAATGGATGGAAAATTGGATGGTGTTAAAGTCAGATGACAAATCATGGATTTTGAAAAATTAAGGTGATATTTCTCTTAAATTTTTCTTTAAGGTGACAAATTGAAATTGAAGTATAAGTTCAGGTGATATTTCTATAAATAAATAAAAAATCAAACAAAAGAAATAATAGTTTGACACTCACTCATAGGGAAAAAAAGTCTCTTTGGTGGCCCATATAAATAATGTCATAATTAAAGTACAAATGAAAAGGAGAAAAAAGAAAGAAAGTGGTACGTGTTATGCTTAACTGGGCCGGCTTTATCTTCTCTTGAAGAGGAGGAAGAAAAGAAAAAGTACCATCCCGGATAAATGATTTAGGTCGCCTTGTATATGGAAAAATGACAATTGCCTTATTTAAGTCACTACCTTAAAACGCTGCTGTCACCAAATTAAGAATATTAATGGTACCTGCTTTTCAGGTCGTGTTCGAATCTTCCTCCCGCAATATTGTGTTTGTTAAAAAAAAAAAAAAAAAAGGTTCGAATCCTTTTAATTGTAACAAAAAAAGAAAAGATTTTTGTAAGCCCAAAATACCATTTTCTAGCATAAGGGCACACTAGAAGAATTCCTAAGTGAACAATTCTAGGAAAATAATATTGAGGTCTAGTGCTCATTTAATCTCTAGTTTAAAGTTATGGTCTTGCAAAATGCATATGATATTGCATGAATTAAAGAAATTTTCTTCCATTAGGTTTACAGAAACCTAAAAAATTATCCTTGGTAGAAAGAGACTTCTAAAGGAAAAAAGTCTCTACAGAATAATTAACCAACCAAGTTCTAAGTAGGTAGAGAGAGAGAGAGGTTTGGCAATAATAAAGATCAAAAGCTGATTTTATTTTCACTTTATTATATAAAAATGAATACAAGTAAACACCAAGGTAGGTAAATTTGATTATGTGACAGTGGTCCTGGCATGGTGTAAGTAGCGCCACTGCACAGGGCCCCGAATTTTTTTTACTTTATATTATATATTAATATTATAAAAACTGTATATATTCATTTGGTGGAGTTGGTTTCTAGAGCATATCCCTTGGCACAAAAATGTATATATCACACCCACACACTTTCTCCTAAAAAAACGAAGTACTTTCTTCCACTTATAGCAAAACCCAAAAAAAAAAAAAAAAATTGCATGCTTTCTTCTCTCTCTTGAACTCTTTTTTTTAAAAAAAAAATTTTAACCGAACATACTAATATTTAACTTTATCAAACAAAAACATTAAAAAATTTATGAATTTGATTTGTGATTGTTATTACATGCTAATTGATGATGAATTTTAGTTATAAAAATAAATTGTTTTATGACATTAAGTCTTGGAAAATTTTTTATTTAGTATTTTCATATTAGATTATTGGTGGGCTTTAATTTAAGTTTCGCACAGGGCCCTCAAAATCTCAGAACCGACCATGTGTGGTAGTTACTGCCATCTTCATCCTAGCAGCACGGTGACCAGGAAAGCCACAGATGTAGTTTTGTCCATGTTGAAGTTTGATTTCATCATTTCCTGATGAGAAAACTTGGTCACCTTCGCCTATTGTGCATGTTGTGTAATCATTTTTATCTACCAACGCCACATTGTGGTGTCCATTATTGTATTTGAACACTGCAAAATAAAATGTCATTATAACAAGACCATTAATGTGTTTTAGCTCTTAATTTAAGTTTTGCACATGGCCCTTAAAATCTCAGGACCGACCCTGTGTGGCAGTTACTGCCATCTTCATCTTAGCAGCACGGTGACCAGGAAAGCCACATATGTAGTTTTGTCCATGTTGAAGTTTGATTTCATCATTTCCTAATGAGAAAACTTGGTCACCTTCGCCTATTGTGCATGTTGTGTAACCATTTTTATCTACCAACGCCACATTGTGGTGTCCATTATTGTATTTGAACACTGCAAAATAAAATGTCATTATAAGACCATTAATGTGTTTTAGCTCTTAAGTACTAAACAAGATTTTTTTTCCTTTTTTTGAAAATTGGCGATAATTGTATTCAATAATTAGATATAGAGACCAAATACCCATGAAGGATTAATACAAAGACGGATATTTTTCCCTTTTAGCCCATCGTTTAACCAAAAAACCAAAAAAAAGACATTCCTTTTAAAATTTGGAGATCATGCTCTCCAAAATAATGCTAAGATGTGTTGGCATGGGGTCTCTTTCTCTTTGCTTTTTTATCATCAGAGATCTTCATAGATCTTCCAGTAGAAAAAAGAAAATTCAAGCCAATAATTAATTATTTGATTGAGCAGGCCAACGAGATTTGAATTCATGACCTCCTCTAAAGTGGATTCTGAGTGTTACTAAATGAATTGACATATTAGACTCCAATTAAAAATCGTACGAGTTAACAAAAATTTCACCCTCCTACCAAAATATGGCAATACCTTGTCATAGTTTTCTCAATCCTCAAATTTTCATTTCTAAATTTTGAGGAATCATAACTTTCATCCTGCAATTTTTTTTTATTTTTTCCTTTTTCTGCAATGTGTTCTTTTGGAAAACATTCGTTAAGATCTATCAAAACCCATGAATATAAAAATATTTCAGAAAACAAAGGGAAAATAAAAATTGACATAATTTAACAACTTTATACTTCAAAGTTAGACATAATTCAACATAAAAGTTGGCCAATTTAAGACTTACCCAATGTATCGTGAGTGTGGAATTTCTTGCTAGTAGGCCAGTCGTGGACCTTAAAGTTCCAACCATCATCATCTCCAACGGTGTAGTTGGTCGCATCACTAATCTCACAACAAGGCAGCATTATGCACTACAATAACATTGTGGCAACAATTGCACTAGTGCCTCTATAGCTTGGCCCATTCTGAGTTCTAGACCTTTTATAGGATTTGAACATGCCTTCAACATTCTGGGTGTTAGTTTTACCATTTTATGGAGATACACATTTTCTTTAATTCCAATTCTAAATAGAAACACATTTTTATTATGAAAGGTAAAACTTTAAATGTTGAAAACCAGTAGTAATTTGTTATCTAGGTTCAAAATTGCCCACATTCATTCCATCTGTTTAGGCGTAATATAAATTGAGGAAACAATGTAGGCTAATACATGTTTTAGAAGCCCTTAAGTGGACGTTTTCTTGGATTTTGTGAAGCTAATTGGGATTGGTTTTATACAATTGGTGATGCATGGTTCATTGGAGGTAATGTCATTGCCAAAAGGCTCTGTAGCTAATGTATTAATAGCCTGAAGTCAGTATTATTTTTGGTTTTTTTAATGGGTTATCTCTATAACAGGTATTTGGATGACCATTACAAATATATCCTGACTCAGATTTTCCACTATATTGGGTGAATATTACTGCCTAACTGAGATTGCATGTTTCAATTTGATGGACAATTGTAATGGTTGGAAATGAGATTGCATACTTCATATTTAGGAAGCTTCTGCTTGGAACAAGCAATTTTATACTCTAAAATCCAACATTCTATGACCCACAAAATGTTGATGCATCTAGTATAAAAAAAAAAATGTTGGTGCATCCTTATTTTTGTTGTTGTATTTATGGGTTTAACCCGATTATTTCTTATAAATAAAATTCATTTTTTATTCTTACTCAAGGGGCTAATACCTGAAAATTATTAGAATTGGAGATATCGGAAAGAATTTACATTCCCATTCCCCAATATCACTTGTATACATAAAATAATTGAAGAAATAACTCTAGCCCAATGGGCTAAAATGGCATTTTAGACCTAAACCTTAAAATAATATGACAAAATTGTTTATATGCCGAAAGGTATAGCCGCCCGGCTATACTCTTTAAATATATTACTATTAATGTATAGCTGAGTGGCTATACTCTTGAAATATATGATTTTAAAGGTATAGCCGGGCGGCTATACAGTTTGAATATATTCGAATATTTTAAAGGTATAGCCGCGCGGCGATACTTTAAATATATTAGCGCTTCCAAGCTTCATAGACTCTCTCTCTCAACTCAAGCTTCGATTTTTTTTTCTTTCGTTTCGGATGCTGCGTTGATTGGATTGGATTGGACTCTCTCTGTGAAAACCATCAAATGCCATTCAGCTATTGAAATCTCCACTAAGATAACAACTCTGATGCTATAAAATCTTAAAATCCTTAGAAGAA